TGTGCATTACAGCGTTGGTCTCTGCCTGCTGACCAGGGGCCGGAGCTGGAGGGCTCTGCAGTGTCTCTGGCTGCCGGAGCAGAGTCTGGGGGAGCCCCCGGTGCCAGGTGCCTCTTGGTTCAGGCCCTGTGACCAGGTTTTGACCTTGGCTTTCAGAACGCAGCTGGGCCTTGTCTGAGGCCTCGGTTCTTGCAGCCGTGCCCCAGGGTCCTGCTGCTGCGTATCTGCCTCTCACTTCCCTTGTGTCTTCCCTCAGAGTCAGATCAGTGTCTGCCCTATGGGGTGTAGCCTTTGATCTTTGTGAAGGCTCGGCTCCCGGTCCCACCCCTGCCCCTTCCTAGCTGGGTGACCTGGGGCCAGTTCCTGGACTGGTTGCTATGTTTCAAAAACTGATCAATCAGTTTTAATTAAGAGCTTGCCATGCTTAAGAGAGCCTCATACCACATGGGACTAGCAGCCCCATCAACAACACGGCAGTTGGCCCTAGTCAGACAAGTGGTGGGTCCCAGAGGGCAGGATTTGGGGTGGGTCAGGGAGAGCTGCTGCGAGAGCAAGTGGACGGGGTTGCAGAGGAGAGAGGTGGGTGAGGAGGGAAGCACTCCCCCCCGTTATCTGTGGAAAATCTGTTGCCTAGAGCGTCAGCAGCTCCTGGAATCACCTAGACATAAACGTTGTAAATAGCAAAGGTTCTCAGAACCAAGTCGTTCCTCATTTCATTTTGTAGACAAAAGGACAGGCGAGGGAGCAGGCATCACCCGCTCTGTCTGGTAGAAGAACGAGGCTCTGAGAGTCCAGGTAACATGTCTCAGAATCTGAGAGGGTGGTGGCTGGTTGGGATTGGGAGCCAGACCCCTCAGACTCCGAGGGCACTCTCTTCTTGGGGGCGAGTGTGGGTGGCCTGTGGCAGGGTCGCCTGCCTTGCTGAGCTCTGCTCTCTCTGCAGCACATCTAGCAGAGGTGCCTTGGCTTGTCTTGGGGGCCAGGAGGGCACACTCAACTCCCCATGGCTCAGAGCGGAGCACGGGCCACAGCAGCCTGGCGCCTTCTCCCCACACCGTGGTTTCCTCACTGGGAAGAGGGATGCAATGGGATGGGCAGCTGCCCCTCAGGTCAGCCTCGGCTTGCCACCTGCATGTGCCAGCACAGTGCCAGCCACTAGGGCCTGCATGGAGGGCCCTGAGCTCGGCGGTGGGGGAGCTGAACCAGCAGGGAAAGGCTCGTGGAGAGCAGCGAGACGTCTGGGAGCCTGGAGACTCAGCTCCGTCTGGGAGCTCAGCAGGTGCTTCTGGAAGAGGAGACCCTGGGAGGTTCTTAAGGAAGGAGTTGGCATTTGTCAGGGGAAGGAGGCAGGATGGCACTGGGGGACTAGCCTGCACTAGGCTGTGGAGGGAAGGACTCACCCTGCCAGGACGCCTCCAGCTAGCCCAGGGCCTTCTCAAGTCTCTTAAGCCCATTTGCCTGTTTCACAGAGTCCTCTTATCTCTTCGGGGGTAAACCATGGGCATGAGGCTTGGAGCTGGCCTTGATCACCAAAGTCAGGGCCAGCCACAGCAGGTGTGGGCTGTGTGGGCCAAGGCCTGGGGCCAAGCGAGGGTGGGGTGTGAGGGGATGTGGGCATGAAGGTGAGGCCTCCTGGATGCAGGGGAGGCGCCTCGCAGGAGAATATCGGTCTGCTGGGTGACTTCCCTGCTGTGGGGAGCGAGAATGTGGAGGGGCTGACGCCTGCATAGGGCTCTTTGTGGAACCTCTCTTGCACTGCTGGGGAGGAAGCTGGGTCCGGAGGATGTCAGAGCTCTGCCCTGGCCGCAGCTGGCTCAGCTGGAGTAGAGCAGCACCGCCGGTCCCGAGGCCCCGCTGTGGCTCTGCCTCTGTGTTGGCACAGACTGTGTCTCATCGTCTCACTCACTGTCTTCATCAACAGATACCTGTTGATTGCCTGCGAAGATCCCTCCAGGCCCTGGAGACTCTTGGCTTTCCTGGGGGTAGGGCAGGGATGGTGTGCACGCTGGAGGAGGCTTGGCAGTCTGGGCTGTGTAGGGGAGGAGGCTGGCAGGGGTGGGGCATGGCGGGGTGGCCAAGGGGTGGTGGTGAGGAAGACACGTGCCAACACAGGGTCTTGTCTTCTCCCAGGAGATGGCCCCTACATGGGGCAGCTCTGGGCACCTCTCCTCATCCAGCCCTGAGCTGAGTTCTTGTGGGAGTGGGGCCTCTGGAGCCCGTCTACCCTCATGGCTGTGGCAGTGGCCACGGCATGCATGGCAAAGGTGAGTGTGGCCCCATAGGACTGGGCAGTTGACGCATTCTTACAGTGGCATGACGCTGGGCAGGTCGCCTGCCCTCTGTGCCTCAGCTTCCTCATCTATAAACAGGGAGAATAATACTTGGGCCATTGGGCGGGTTCCATATGCTCATGCCAGATCCCCCAGCCCGTGTGCACAATTTGTTGTCCCATTATCATCCTTGTTGTCACTGTTGTGACTGCTGCCCTGGCTGTGACCATCCCGATGTTTTAGTGATGTCTTGGAGGCCCCAGAGCCTGTGGGGTACAGTGGGCAGTGGGTGCCAGGTGGTGAGAAACCATTTCAGGCCAGAGACAGTGAGCTGAGCTGCCCCTGTTCTGAAGACAGCCCGGGCAGCCTGTTCTTCCGCAGGCCTTGCCCTGAGGGGCAGCTGGGCCCAGAGGCCCAGGGTGAGCTGCTTGAGGCAGCTCCTCAGAGCCCCTTGGGCTGCACTTGGGCCGCACTTGGGCCTGGGGCCTAACTAGAGAGAGGATCTTCCGCTGGGGTTGGGTGGGCTGTGCTGGCTGCGAGGCCTCGGCCCTGCCCAGCCCTGGTGCTAGAGTCGCTTATGTGGGAGGCCCGGGGCTGGGGAAGGGCAGGGTGGAGGCAGCAGGACGCAGAGTGCTTGAGGGGCTGCCGTTTGCCTGTGAACTGGGAGTCAGGGTCAGACCTGCCCCTGTGTGGCTGGCCTCCCTGTGATGCAGAGCTGGGCTTGGGGACCTGTGTCCCCAGGGGAGAGCAGATGCTCAGCCAAGGTGAGCAGTGCTTCCTTCCGTGCTAGGCCGCCTGCAGCTGGCTCAGAGAGTAGTGTTTGGAGGGTCCCGCTGGCACCCGAGCATCTTTCAGCCACACCCGAGTTGTGGACCTCACACCATGTTCTTTTGTTCTTGTATTTTATTATGGAAACTTTTAAACACACAGGAAAAGTTGAAAGAACCATGCAACAATCACCTGTATACCCACCCCCTAGGTTCTCACTGACATTTCACCAGTGGCTTTTGTCACAGATCGGCTACTCACTGGCACTCCACCCACCATGCATTTCTTTTTTGGGGGGGGGCAGCCAATATGGGGATCCAAACTTGTGACCTTGGTGTTACAAGTGTGTGGGTTAACCTGCTGAGCTAACCGGCTGTCCCCTTGTACTTCCTTCTAGATGCTTGCTTACTAGCTTTGTTTTTCTTTGAGATGATATTTATGTACAATGAACTACGCACATCCTGAATGTGTCTGTAGGTGTTTTTTTTTTTTTTTTCCCTTTTTTTGTCTTTTTTACTGACCGGTAACGGGATCGCAACCCTCGGTGTCGCGCCCGTACCGGGGACTGGCAACGGGATTGCAACCCTCGGTGTTGCGCCTGCACCGTGCTCAGCCAGTGAGCGGGAACCGGTCTCCACATGGGATCCGAACCCTCGGCGGGAGCGCCACCGCACTCTCAAGCGGCGCACTCTCCAGTGCGCCACCGGGCCGGCCCTCTTTAGGTGTTTTGACAAATGCTTGCACCTGTGTCAGCCCTGTCCAGGCATAGCATGGAGCCCTCATCCCAGGTCCCTCCTACCCTGCCCCAGCCCCAGTCCAGCCCTGCCCCATAGGCACTACGGATTGCTTTTGTCTGTTCTAGAACTTCATAGTGTATGGCTCGTGTCTGTCGTGGTATTTCTGAGATTTGCTGTGCTGCGTGTACTGTGAGCTCCATCATGTGCAGTGACCCTGGTGCCTGTCTACTCTCCTGGTGTCTCCTGGACCCTCTTTCCAGGTCTTGGCTGTTGAGAGTGCAGCTGTGTGGACGTCCCTGTGCAGGTCTCTATGTGAATCCCCAGCATGGAAGGCTGGCTGTGGGGTGGGTGGGCGTGCAGTCATGCGGGCTGTGGGCCTTTCCCTTGGTGGCCGTGTGTTTTATGCTCGCCCGGCAGTGCTGGCAACCCTTGACACCTTGTGCACATCAGGGCTTGGTGGTGTCCCCACAGTCTTATGTGTGGCTTTTTTTTAAATTGAGATAAAGTTCACATAACATGAAATTCACCATTTTAACCATCTTAAAATGTACAGTTAAGTGTTTTTTAGTGTATTCACGGTGTTGTGTAATCACCACCACCTGCCAGTTCCTCATCATTTTCATCACTCCAAGAAGAAACCCCATACCATTAGCGGTCCCCCCATTTCTACCTCTGATCTGCCTGGTAGCCCCTAGTCTACTTTCTGTCTCTAATGGTTTGTACTGAATCACAGGTCTTTGGCGTTTGTGACTGGCTCTTTCCGCTCACGTGGTGGTTGGTGCTTTGTGGCACTGGGGCACGTCGGTGCTTCCCCTCTTCACTGCGGGATGCCTTCACCCTTTGCTGGTCGCCGGGCCCCGGGGCCATCTCAACCTTTTTGCTCTCGGGAGTAGCGCTGCTTTGAGCGTGCGTGTGCGGGCTCTGTGTGTTCTGGCATTCCGTTTCTCTGGGCACGTGCCCAGCAGTGGGACTGTGGGGGCACTGGGCATGCGGTGACTTGGGTTTTGTCTTTCCCGCCATCTTCACATCTCCTTTCTTCAGCTTGTCCTGTCCCCGACCCCCTGCTTGGCCCTCAGGAGGCTGAGCTAGGAAGGCTGGGGAGGACGCTTGGGGCTTTCTGCCACCTCTCAGGCTCCTGCCTCTGGGAACCGCCCACAGTGGCCATGGTGCTAGGGCCCGTGGGCAGGACACTCAGTGTGCTTTCCCCTCGTCCTGTCTTCTCCAGCCACCCAGGTTGATCCTTGTGACCTCCAGGAGCTGTTTCAGGAGACGTCGGCCAATGTCTTCCGCATCAACTCCAGCGGTGAGTCTGTGCCCGGCCTGGGCCTACCCCCTCCCTCCTGGGTTGCCCTGGCTGCTGAGGTGACATTGGAGGTGGCAGATGCTGGCTGTGCCCTCTCCTTTGGTGGAATCTGCATGGGTCCCTGTGGAGGAAGGAACCTATCTCAGGTTTCTTCAGATTGGCAGGGCAGGCAGACTAGAAGCCACTGAGACGGGGCCTAGGACTACACGGGGCCTGTCTGGAGAGAGGGTTGTGGCCGCAGTGGCCCTCTGCTGGGGTGGGGTGGGCCGGCTCTAGGTCACTTAGGTGGACTGCTGTGTCCCTGGTCCCAGTCCGTAGCCCTCCTGCCCTGCCTCTACTGGGGCACGTATATAGAGTTGCTGTAGCAGGGAGGGTCTTTCTACTCCTTATGCTTGTCCCCTTTTCTCTGGCAGTGACTTCCTTGGAGCGGAGCCTCCAGTCCCTGGGTACGCCAAGTGACACACAGGAGCTTCGGGACAGCCTGTGAGTTTGCTGGCTGCTGTGTCTCTGCACCTGTGCATGGTGCCATGGGGGCTTACGGGGGTGGGGTGGGCACTGTATACACTTGAACGCCAGATCTGTTCATACACTCGCTCACTGACAGCCTCCTTGACTACACACACACATATATGCACACCTGTGGATAAGCCCTGGTTGGAGCTTGGGACCTAAGAAGGGGCCCCAAAGGTCACTTCTTTGCAGGGCACACAGGTGCACCTGCCCCCTCGAAGAAGCCTAGGTGCACCTTTGGATGCTTACACAGACACGCGTTTGCTCAGATGGGAGGGTGCATGCCTGCTCACACTCGTTCTGCCCCACCAGCACCTCCCAGATGTGTCTCTGCCACACTGCAGGGCTCACCACTCTCCCAGGCAGACCACACTGCACTCACTGCCCCAGCTGCTCCTGGGCTACCAGGTCCCACCTGCAGAGATGTGGGGTGCCCTCAGCACGGGGTACCCGAACAGGCCTGGTCAGCACAGCTGCTCACTGGGCCCGCCTTGTTGGGAGGCCTGGTCCTTGCGTCCACCCACTGCCACCTGCCCTGTGCCCCAAAGGCAAAGCTGGGGGCCACCCCGGCCTCGTGCCCCTGAAAGAGCCGGAGCTGAGAGAAGGTTGTGAAGATAGAAGCCCCAGGCGAGGGCACTGGGTCTCTCTTTACCCCCTCACACCAGCTCCATTCGAAATGAGCAGGCAGACCAGCTGAGGGGACCCTGTGCTGAGTGCAGAGGGCCTCTGCACATGTTCCATGCAGCTCTGTTTTTAACTTTCTATTCAGTTCTTTTTTTAAAATAAAATTTATTATTTTCCGATTGTGGAAGTAACATATGCTCATTATAGAAGATTTAGACGTATAGGGTGTCTGAGGAGCCACTGGTAACGTTTTGGTGTTCCCTGTCAGCTTTTTCTCAAAATACACGTTTTGCAGTATCAGCCTTGAGCAAATAATGTCTGGATCCTGCTTTTTACACTTACAGTTGTGTAGTGCGTGTGCCCTCAGTAGACTTCTCTGCAGATGTGTTCTTTGCAGGTGCTGAGCGTGCTGTGGAACGTGTGTGACTTATGTACGGAGTCCTGGCCTGGGTCTTCGGACCTTTCCATTTTTTCGCTGTTGCAAGCAGAGTTTCCGGGGATGTTGTGTTTACATCTTCACATTACTGCCTGTTTCCTGGGTTAGGTCACTGGAGGTCAAGTGGGGTGGGCATTTCCAGGACGCTGGCCCTCACCTGCATGTCCTGGCTGCCTGGCTTGCTTAGCTGAAGGACGACGTCACCAAATGTGGGCCTTGGAGAGGAGGGGGGCTCCCAGCATATACCTGGGGGTCTTACCCCGACCCAGGGCCTTGGTGTGAGGACTGAGTGCCCCTGGTGCAGCTCCCCCACCTGCAGGTCAGCCTCAACTGTCAGCTCCCGAAACTCTCACCTTAGAGCCCTCCTCCTACACACCAGCTCCTGGCCTGGCTGCAGTACTCGCCTGCTTGTCTTGGCCTTCCAGAGCCTTCCATGACCCCATTCGATGGATGCATGTCATGGACTGTTAACATTTTAAAAGTAACTTTTGAGAATAACAAAGAGTTGGCAGTTCTATATTTTCTCCACATTGACAAAGCTGCCAGCTTTTTTATTTGGCCAAGTAAGGACCAAAAAAAAAAGAACAATACCATCCATTATCACCATCATTTTATAAAGGAAACAACATTTCAGTCCTACAGAAGTGGGAGGGATCTGATCTCAGGAGAGGGGACAGTCCTTCAAATTGAATAAATTTAGCTTCATAAAAGCCTCAAGGTTGAGCCTGTGTTTCTCATCTTGCACGAGGCAGGTGCAGCCTTGTCATTTCTGTCAGCCACCCTGCGTAGCCACACAACGGCGTCCCCATCACAGGCCCTCAGGCTAGAGCACTGTGGCCGCTTGGTGATCCCGTGGGGTGAGGCTCAGTGGCTGCAGGGACTGTGCTTGTCTGGCTTCCAGGGCCAGTGTCAGCCAGGCGCTGCCAGGTCCATTGGGATGGTAGCTGAGCGAAGGAGTGGTGATTCCAGTGGTTCTGGGAGGACAGGGCCCCTGTGCAGCACTTGCCAGGTGCATCCGCAGCACTGCAACTGTGCTGCCTGGCAGGCGCTGCTGTCTTGTATCTGCAGGTGTTGAAGCTCTGCTTCCAGTGGCCTTCAGGTTTCCCAGGAGCCCAGAGCACGTCAGTGACAGCACAGGGCTGGACTTAAGCCTGACCTGCAACTGAGTGATTCACACTTGGTTCTGGGTTTGGCTGGGTCTGCGGGAAGCAGGGGCTTGTTCTAGGCGGATGGAGACGGCACACCTTTGCCAGGTTCACAGGCTGCCCAGACCTCCCCTCCCTACCCCAGTGTCCTGGCTGGTTTCAGCTCCTCTGAGTCGGTGTGGGGCTCAGCTGTAGAGCTGGGGTCCTTGACAGGGGCTGTAGCTTCTCCTGGACTGCAGTTTCTGCTTTTCCCAGCATGAGTCCCTGGGTATGATTAGACCCCCAGCCCTGCTCCCTGGAGCAGAGAGATGGGGGAGGCACAGGTTTCCCACCTAGGCCTTGTGGATCCTGTTTGTGGTGTGCTTCTGCCCTGGTGGGGACTGCTCCTGCCGCCTTTCTTTTCCCCTGGGAATCTCCGTTGCTATAGAAACAGTGGTGTCACAGCTGAGAGTGACACTTTCTGGCACCCCAAAGGGCAAATACCAAGTGGGTGGCGGCTTAGTGGATTTCCCTGTGGATGTCACCTCCCACACCCCCGTCCCTCCCCCACGTCTGTTCTCAGGCCTCCTAGTCAAGCTCGGCCCTCACCCCATCCCAGCTGCTGCCAAGGCCCGCCCTTCCTCCACTCTCCAGTTTTGCCTTTTCCTGTCTCACTGCCTATCAGTGGTCAGTAGTTTGCTTCCTCATACTGCACAGCAGGGACGACCCCACTCCCATGCCTGGGTGGCCCTGGAGCTGGGGTCCGGCACAGGATGGGCCCAGAGGGAGCTTTGTTGGGGGAGCACACTGCTCGGCTGCCCTTGCCCTGTGGCAGCACTTCTGTGGACAGCAGAGAGGGCCCAGGAGCGGTGGCTGCAGGGGCAAGCTCATAAGGGAGGCTGAGAAGAAGCTACTGGGCAGGTGGGAGGAGGACCAGGAGAGGACATGATCTGGGGCCAAGCGTGGGGGGCTTCAAGGAGGAGGTGCTAGTGTTGCAGGGCTCAGGAAAAGCCAGGAGCCTGCTGCAGGGCTGGCCAGGGGCCAGGCACTCCTGGGCAGAGAAGGGCCCCCTGGCAGCAGCGGCTGCATGGAGGGTTTAGAGGCAGCATCCGGGTTTGAATGCTGCCCCACCTGGGTGGCCTGGGTGGCTGTGCCATGTTTTCTCCTTTCTGATTCTCACTGCTCCTGTCTGTGAACAGGACTGTGGGCTCTGGCTTTGCTCAGGCACAGGAAGGGCCTGGCACAGGGCCTGGGGTGCTGCAGGCTCTGGGGAGCCGCTGTTGAGCTGACCCGGCTGGCTCCTGCAGATGGGTGCAGTGGCTGCTGCAGGCCATGTGCGGGAGAGTTTGCTGATTTGCAGGATGTTTTTTAGGGCCCAGACCCCTGATTCTGGGGATGGGACAGGTGTGCACTGGGTGGAGGTGGAGGCAGTGTGGTTTGCAGTCCCTAGCTAGTCTTCACCGTGGCCACGAGGCAGTTCCTCCTCTCTGGGAAATGAGCTCACCCTGCCTGTCTCAAAGCTGTGTACCTGGGTGACTGTGCAGGCCAGGCACTGGCAGGGCTGGCGCCTACTCAGTGTTCCACAGTTGTCAGACCCAGACTCTGCCTCTCCTTTCCTAGAACTCTCCCCACACCCGTCCCATTGGATGCTGTGGGCCTGGTCCCTGTCTGTGTGGTGTCCTGTTGGGCGGTGGGGAGCCTGGTTTGGCCCCTGCCCTGTAGACTTTCCTTTTCCTTCTCCCCGCTTGCCCTGACCCTGACCACTGACCCATCCTGGTTGGCATGACTTGGTGGTTCTTTGTTCATGAAGTCAGCTGGCCTCTATTCCCTTCAGCCCTGGACACTATTGAGATCTGGAGGGGGTGTGCTGGGCCAGCGTCCCCCTCCTGGTGTGTGGCTGAGAGGACCTGCTTGCCTGGGGCTTTCTAGCATGGTCCCTCGGGCTCCATTCTCTGAGCTTCCTGGGGGATGCAGTGATGCCTCCTGCTCACTGCCCATGCTGTGGTGAGGAGCAGAAAGACCATGGAGTCCAGGTCAGGCAGCCCTGAGGTGGGGGGTGTGGTTGGAGGTGACCACTGAGGGTCTGCCTGGCTCTGTATGAATGGCACTTTCCTCCCCTCGGAAAAGGATTTGCATGTCGTAATCAGCACCAGAAGGGATCAAGAAGCCTTGGATCAGGATAATCCTGCACTGCAGGCCTGTGCACGGCAGCTCTTTGAGGGGCTTAGCCTAATAGCCCAGCACTGCTGCAGAAATACCCAGGGCTGTGAGCTTGTACAGGGTGGGACCGCAAACCTCATGAGCACCTCCCCTCAGCCCTCCTGTGATCTAACATGCTGCACACGGATTCCTGTGGGGATTTGCTTGAGAGCCAGGAGGGCAGGAGAAAGCACACTTCTAGCTCATGCCCCTGTCATTTGCTGTTGGAAGGCTTCCCAGGGGTAGGTACCCCTGGTCACCTGGGGGCCAGTGATCCTGGGGGGTGACGACTTATTTCCAGAGCTACCTCTGGGACCCAAACCCAGGCAGGGCCAGCTGACCAAACCCAGGTCTCTCACTGACATGTGGGGAAAGGGAGGCCTGTGGAGAGGGGCTTTCCCAGGGCCACAGGGTGAGAGCAAAGATGGGAAGAGGCTGATTCTCTAGGATATCAGGGTGGTGTCCACATGTCATCTTGGGCTTGGGTGACACTGTGGGAGTTTGGACATTTCTTGTTCAGGTCCATTTCTTGGGGGGAAGAAGCTGTCCAGCAGCCCCAGGGCTGGACCTGGCTCAGGAGCTGGAGAGCA